TCACCTTTACGTACAATCCTCAATTAAGCCAGCCAACCATACACTAGGAAGCACTAGACTCCAGTTTTGCTCTCAGTAGTACATATCCACAGTTCCATCCGGGCTTTGAACTCTGGACCGATTGCATAGAAGGTGTGTGTATCACCACTGTGTCAACCAACTCAGGTCAGGGCTATCACGGAAGACGATATCTGAACAAACATGAGCTGTTATTTCGGTTCAGCGTGTAGGTGAAGTCTGAAGGATAATCAACTCAAATTAAAATAGGATTTATTTTGCTTAACCTTTGAAGAACCGGAAGGTCCCTTCCTTTTCTCTGAGACAGCTGAACGGATATTTTGGTACCGATTTGGACTCAGAAGTAGTATTTTGCAAGAAAGACATTTCTGGTAACCCGATGTTTTGCATAAGTCACTCCAGAGAAAGCATCTGTCCACCTGACTCCTTTGGTGGCGTTCGTGAACTGTTCCCTGTATTCAAGACAGTGTATCTAATTTTCGTTATAACTTTCCAACAGGAGGCTTACACCCAAATTAACCTTTCGATTTATTGCTACCTTTTGGGCACAATGGTACTGGTGTCTTCCAGAAGTAACGGTAGCACACGGTCACATGATCAACAGTGATCCTCAAAGTTGACCGCCATGTGTCACACATGTAACACCCAACACATACAAACAATGAGCGTCATGTGTATGACAAACCGATTCCGAGTAGGAAAGCTGTTCTAAGCCACTGGTTGAACAATATACAGAACCAATGGGGGATAAAATCCTGGAATTCTGGTAAAACTGGTTGGTTATGATTATTCGGAAATGGTTTTGAGGACAAATGAAAGGTACTATTCAGCTGAACGATGGACCGCGGATCCCTCAGTCCAGATAAGCGGTTCCTGGCCCCTTTCGTGAAGCTAGTGGTGGTGATGGTGGGTTCACACTGATGTGTTTGCTGTGCTTCAGACCGATACGAAACTTTAGCGGTGACTAGCCGTGCTTTTTATCTCATCCAGATTAAGTTTGTAGTTGTTTGTTGCTCTAGCTGTCGAGGTCGATTCCGATAATCAACGGATAAGTCCTCGTGAATAGGCGATTCATCCCTGCTTATAAACATCACCCTCACAGACACACACACTCACCAATGTTTAATGCTATACTCTTTTACCGCTCTATCTGTAATTATCTGACAAAATCCATTTGGGTAGAATCACTCTGAGCTCTCGAGTTGTCACTTTTATGAGTGCATGCTTGATACATGTAGTGAAACCGTTTGGTTGACATCAGTTGAAGGCACGAGATGGAGCCGTCAAATCGTGTTCCAATGTTAAAGAAAATTTATTTACCATAACCAATATATTGTTGAATTTAGCTTGATATTAGGATTTTATTCAATGGGATCCAATCAGCAGGAAAAACTCGATCGCGGGGGAGACTTAAACTAAGAGTGTGATTCGATTTTTCGGAAGCCCCCAAAAAGTTGACTGGTGGTAGCCGAGTGCATATCTCGAACCTTAGAGACTGAAACGCCAATTTGACAGTCATTTTAGCCCTGCGGATACTACCACTACCACCACCACCACTGCTACCACAACAGCAACTACTACCACTACTACTACCGTCACCACCTGATCAAATTTTATTTGAAATGAAATTGGTGAACTTCCCAGTCGCTTAAACCAAATCATATGTTTGTTTCTTTGACAATCACATTGTCTACAATTCTGATCAGATAACAGTTACGACGACCATTTAGAGCTGAACACCCTTCAGTCAGTCAGTACAGAATCAATCAGATGAAATTTCGCTAAATAATGGAAAACGTTGGTTATTTACTTTCTTTTTTCTTTTCTTTTCACTTTCTTTTCTCTACTACACAAGGATACAACTTTTCAGGAAAGAGAGAGCGACCACTGAAAAGCCACCGTACAAAAGATTGAGGAATTCAGGCGATGGTGGTTGTCAGTTACGTGATCATTATCACTGAGCCACCACCGCTCCGCTGAATAGTGCTAAAATTACCGAATCTGCTACCAGCCGACACAATCTCAACATCTCGGTGAAGATAGCAAACTTCATTTGACTTGCATCTCGGTCAAGTTCCAAAACGCAATTACTCAGACTCTGTGAACTTTGGCTTTCCAATAATCTGCGGGGTCATGTGACATATGTGGTGAACCACACCATTGAATGATCGCACTGTCTGGAATCTCAGTAGTGCTCGATACTCTGGATGTAATTAGGGCGATGATCCATTTGGAGTGTTTATCGATGAGGATAGTTGGAAAAAATTTTGTATTGCATGTAGAGGTCGGAATACGACGAATAAAGCATGAATCTCCATACTCATCAATTGATAGGTGTGTCAAAAGCGGTTCAAGTGAATTTCATGCACGTGCTCTAACTAGTTCCCCTTAGCACTTAGAATAACTTCATTTTTATCAAACCGTTTGACAATTTGATTGTTTTGCTAAATAAAATGGTCGGGATCCGTTAAACCGTGATTGACAGAATGTAGTTGATCAAACGATCAATGATAGTATCTAAACAGTAGAACAAGAGAGAAGCACGAAACGGTCCCATTATGCAATGGTGGAATGAAACAAGTTCACCTCTTTCTGTATTGGGAACAGAATTCTGCACTCCTTTTCCAGATGGGAAAGTAAAATGGGGATGTACTGCGTTCACACTTAGAGCGCCTTATCACGTGCTTCCAGTCTATTTGAATAATCCAGGTTCTCGCTACTTGATAGATCGAGTTTTCATTACTCAAAACAGAACTGGACAAGTAAAAATTAAGTTATTTTGGAAAACACTTGGCAACTGTTTCACTCTTGTTAGGACTCACAGGACAGTGCATCTACACCGATATTTTAGAGTTCGGAAAAAAGTTCCCACCTCCTGGGTTACACAGTCAATGGCTAACGTTTACGTGCATGATGACGTGGATTGTAGATATTCTTGTTTTGTTAGTTGGGAATTCCCAGACACATGGTTTGTGTATTGTTGTGTTTGAGCTTTTGAGAGCTCATTTCCCTATCATCAACTGTCGAGTAAATCTTTTTAGTGAATTGTTTTTGAAAAAATACGCACCGCTCATGAGTCTCAAAAATTATGAAAGAACAGTTCAGTTGTGGTCTTCCAACGCTCAGTTATATCGTCAGCAAAGGAGTGATTTGATACAGCTTTAGATCGACCAATAATAAAACGGTGTTCTGGACCAATCACAATCCACTTGGTTCAAATAGGAATGATATCGTCAAAAAGAAACATGAACCAGGATAGGTCAATGCCGTTCAGCCAGAAATATCCTTTCTTACTTATGATTTATTCCTACTGACTTTTTGTAGTAAGCTAAGCGCTACTTCTGTGGCCCTCTTCTCCCTGCGTCTCCGTGTCGGGTGTGTTCAGCAGATGATGACCAGTGCAACATCGTCTCCTGATTCGTGTCGATTACCGAATCACTGCCTCAATTTAGGCTTTGCACAAAATTCCTCAAATTCCTCAAATTGCACGGTTTTGTCCACAGATCAAAACAAAACCACGGCGCATAATTCCGGGCAACACTGTCGCGTTGGTCCATTCCTGGTAGTCTGAATTCATCGATAGAATTCGAGATAAAAATTAGGGATTTCGTCAGCAGAGTGCGACCTTATTTCCCCCTTCCCTGCCTGTGCCTACACATAATCGATTGTAACCCCGGTTAGTAATCTTGCTGCTCGCATACAAACTCAGCTTGCAAAAATTATACAAATACAAATATATTCCTCTCCGAAGGGATTGTGACTAAACGCGGGACATTCGAAACCTGACTACGTTTCACAATGGTGAAGGAGTGGACAATCCTTTTTCTGGTTTTGAAATTTCACTAACAAAGTGAAGGAATTCTAATTTGAAATGAAATCACAGTGAAATATATATTTGTGTATATATTTAATATGAACAAGCCATATTGTATCCAACAGCGGCAACACAAAAACAGTACCATGCAACCTGTGAAGCGACTCACTTTAACTCGATGCAGATCTTTGTGCGATGTGGCTGATCCTTTGAGTAGAGTAGCATTCATGCTTTCCCGTTTGAGCAGTGCTTTCAATCTTTGATCCGGATCATGTCTGATAACACANTAACACAATGGGCGTGGGAGAGGAGGTTGAGGAGTCGAATTACTGGTATCAACGGCTCTCCGAGTGCGCTCAGTTAAATTTAATTCCGAAACTGGCGAATCATGTTAAATCTAGTCCATCGCTTATTGGACTTGTTCTGTGGTACATTATCAGACTTTGACTTTGAGTATCTGCATTTTGATGTGGCGAAGGATTCAAGTCAAGTTGGGCCGTAGATTTGCGAGTTTTATAGAGGCTTTTTTTCAATGGATGACGTGCAATTTTGACTATCACGTAACCAAGTTCTAAACTCTATTCCTATTGGTGTACCTGAGATGAAAAAATGGTCTTATTTTTTTAGCTTCCTTTTCTGTGACACATTTCGTGTGATGAACAGCAGACGGGTTAAATCTCGTAGTCGGAAAGACCTGCTGATCATTGACTGAAACCGGTGACCTTGGGCCCCGGGACTCGGAGTGGCCGACCACATAAGGCCCCGTTAGGTTATGTGTGGTATTGAAGCGGACGACAGCAAAGCTTTCTGCCTCAAAAGTTCTGTTTTAATTTTTTCATTTAGTCAAGTGGAACCGAGTATGCTGGCGGTACGATTTGACATTTACCCCTGCCCGATCGTAAGCACAATCGTGTGTGGCTGGGAAGTAGGGTAATTAGAATAATCAAATTTGTGGTGGTCTGACAATGGCCGTCTAGGAACAAAGGGATGTAGCCACTGTATCCGTGACTTCTTAAACCCCCACCAATATTTTTTTCATGGAAATACAAGGTTTCTTGATCGAGACCGTAACACGTGATCGGTTTTCAACCTGGGGAAGAAGAAGCAGCAGTTGACACTCGACATTGAAAATGAGGAACCATTAGGACCCTAATTCGTGAATACTCAGTACTTCCTCATTTTATCCACGAAAAAACATCTGTCATTAGTCGTACATATTGGTATTACTAGACTATTTCATTAAAGTGTAAAGAACTCAAGAAAATAAAACAAACAAATACATTATGACCAACAGACCATCATAGTGCGTGGCGTGGGTTGAAAATCACATTAACCGAACTTCCGAATGGCAAGGTGTGTGATTTTGAGCCACGAGAAGAAGCATAGCCTCAACGATCCTGATGGGGTGCGTGGAGTTCACAGTATTTGGCGCCTCATCATTTTGCGTGATTAATTAGCTAATTCCGATACCGAACGAGCCAGTCACGTTCCCAATCGAGCACAGTCGGGTGATTCATCATTTGGCGTGTAAATTGTTGGTCGAAACATGAGAACACGAAATCACAACAATCCGGTCGTGCTTAAAGTTGAAACGAGGCTCAACAGGACTGCCTGATTTTGGTGAAGAGCACTGACAGCTGACCATCGTTGGCACTTGTGAACCGTATGCACCCTAGCGAATTTGACCGGGCAAATTACACTTCACTAAAGATTCCCATCGTGACACTGACAGAACAACACGAGGACTAGAGAAGCTCATTTGCTCTAACTGTTTCCTTCGCCTAGTATACATATAGATATTTCCCATGAAGACGGTTAAGTCACGTTGGTTGCTGCTAGTTGCATCTAATCTACCTAAAAAACACCGAATGATAGTCTTGATTAATAAGCAGCTTGATTCTGATAGGGTTGTCTAAATAACTTTACTGGGTGTAGTGAATGAGCCATTTGAGATGAAAAAATTTTCTGGGTATGCATGCCTGCCGCGAGAACCGGAAAACTGGTCCTATGTTTCCACAGGAACTTTATCAAGTACTTCATATACTACTTATTATAATATATAGTATAAGTAATATGTGAATTCCAATATATTAATGTGGCGAGGAGTGGCTGGGAAAGATGTGAAACAATAAGTTGTTGATGAGTGGCTTAGAATGAGGAACCGAGAAACAAAGAAAAGCAAAGAGGTTAGAAACAGGATCGGTAAGATCACATACTTCTGATTTAGGTCAAAGAGTGATAACAAGAGTCAGTGGTTAGTTAACTTTCTCTGTCGGACCTGGACCAGAGTACCTGAAGGACCTTGACAAACTGCGTTTTGCAAATATACAGTTGGTGATAACGAATTTATTGCTACGTCTTCTACAAGGTAGGACCGTCAGAGGGTTGTGGAAGGGTTTATGGTTACCCTGTGGACGATTTTGGAAGCATTTTCATTTAATAGATGTATACGTGACTGAACAGGAAACAATCTTTTTCCTCATGCATTTTAACCAGACTGGTTTATTTTACTTGATTCTCTGAAAGAGAAAAAGGTGAAAGAAAGGTGAAAAAATCCAAAGTAACCATTGGAACGACCGTCTTATCTTGGTTTCGTTTTAACAAATCACAATAACAGTCAGCTGTGAATGAAGGACAAACAAAGTTGTTTTCGATTGATTGTTATCACCGTTTGTCTCACTCGCTCTCACCTAGATTCTCTTGAAAGATTTATTCTCTGGGGATAACCAATGTTCAATGGTGTCTGTCCTATCCGGTTCAATTATAGTCACCAGTTTTCGCAGAATATATATTTCTAATGCGAGCCACTAAGGATCGGATGGGGTTTCATTTACACCTTAAAGGTTCAAAACGGGCGAATTGAATATACTGACCTGTCCATATGGATTTTCTGTAGTCTGATATACAAATTGTTCCGTCCGAGCGCTTGGTGAGACTAACAACTAAAATACAGAATGTTCTGACCATTTTCATTTCCGACGTAAAATTGAGCACGTCGAGTGCGGTTAATCGTGATGGTCAGAGTGCCTAACGGTGTAATCGCGTTACGCCATACGACAAATGTCAGCCAGAAACGGTTCAGACGCAATCTCATTGCAACTCCATCCCTTTTGCTCTGTTGAAGCTACACGGAACGTGGAAGTTGAAGCGTAACAAAAGTAACTCATTCAAGTTAGTCAACGAAACTTGATTTATTTGATGATGAAATAGAGCTGAACAGGTTCTATCGACCCATCACCATGCCCTGTTTGATGACGGTCGGTAATTCGTGAACTCCCACGAATAGTTCGCGCTCCAATAAAACACGGGATTACAAATGAGTTGATTGCGTACCAAACATTTGCTGAATAAGTAGCTCACGGGACATGCTCCCGAAGAACATGTTTTCCGTAGTTCAAACACGGGTTGAGAGAAAAATACAAGAAAAATGGACCAGAGCACATCACTTGTTTGCCAGGTAGACATGAGTGTTCATTGTTGAAATACTGTAATTTATCGAACAAACATTGGTGACGTCAACAGCCAAAGGGGGTCTAAAATGGTTACTAGTACAAATGTTACATTGTTTTATGCATTGTACAATCGATCAATCACTTTGTGCTCATTTTCGATTGAAGCTCGTTACAGAAACGGCCCCGGATGATTACAAGCGGTGTAAAACATGTGCAGTATTTTCACTGGGGTGCAAGCTACGAAGTTCGATAGCTAACCCATTACATAAAACAGGTGAAACAAGTTATTGCTACGGTTCTCTATGGTCTAGTGGTTCATATCATAGTTTAAAGCTGTCCACGTGTCGAGCCCCTCCTGGACCGAGGTTGGAATATGTGAAATGCGTAATTTTAAGCCGGAACACCAATAAAAGTCGTTGATACGAATCGTGGTGTATTCCTAATCAGATTCACATGTCAGCATAGTTCTTTGTTTGCTGTTGTTGAACTGTGCTGATGTTCACCAAATATCTCCTCGCCTGGAAATTGTGACCTTTGCTGAGGTCCAATCAAATGATTTTAAAAAACGTCTCTAATCCAAAAGGTTCCTCAGGTGACCAAACGTCGCATGGAAGGTGTGTGTGTGTGATTCCACTATGTAAACCAGCTCATGTCCGGGCTGAGCCGAATTGCCAATCCGTGTTTGTTCAGGTGCCCTCTTCAGAGATATAAGCAGACAATTCATTTGGGCCCAATCGCACATCCCCTTACACAACCACGGAGGAACAAACCCGGCTGGACTACTCAATCATGCAAAGTTGGACCCACGAATGTATACACATGTGTGATATGTGTGATCTCTGACACATGAAGACTATTGTGCGTACCCAAAGTCTGAACAATCGTCGATTACTGACTTTTATTACTGTCTTTCAAAAGATTCGTCATTTTAATTGTAGTGTATGTGCTCGATTGCCGGTTCGAAGAAGCGCCAATACACGTGCAGTGAAAGCGATTATCCTCGCGCATTCTGATACCATCTTAACAGCAAGTGTGAATATGTTACTCGAATAATTGTAACAAAGATACCGGCTCCACTTCAAAGGGTTAGTTAGTCTCTTTGTGCACAAATCGATCAAAGGTCATTTCGGTAACACCTAAACGAGCTTATCCAATGATAATGTGACTTAGAAATGACCGGCTACATGGTAATATATGTGTTTCATAATCTGCCGCGCACCCTCACCGTTCCAACTCATAGGCCTAGGCAAGGTGCTTGATCGACTAGCTATTTTGGAGGTGACAGTTTGCAGAGTGGGAACTTTAAGCTATTGATAACTGCGAGGAGAAGAGGCATAATGCAAATCCGTATGTAGCTAAACATTATGTTTTTGAGCTTGTGTGGATATTCACGCCCTCATTCATTCATTCATTCATTCAGATGGTGCATTTTCAAGCAGCTTTGATCGGTTCAATCGGTCACAAATCGGTATCGGATTCTCTCTCAGTATCATCCATTTTCAGCTGATAGATAACACACGATCAACAGTAGTTTTCGGGAGACGGGATTTGAGAAAAATGAAGCGAAGCTTTCCCGGAAATCAGATCAAAATATTGTACGATTTATGTGCGGGACGAACTTGCTGCGTCTCAGCATGGTGCGTACTGCAGAAAACACAATGTTTATATACGGCTTTAACAAGGCAATACATGAAAGAAAAATACAATAAAACAGATAAACATAACAGGTGGGAAGGATGAAAAATAGTCTTGTTTTTGTGCTGCGTACTCGACCTCA